TTCTCGATTTAAGACGTTTAAGACTTTAAGAGTATCTTTTAGGTGGATCACCAAATGAGAACGATTATTGACTGTGGCAGCAATGCAGAATTCAACAGTATCTCAGTATTATAGGTACGCGTTATTTTCCTCGATTATTAGAATGACCATTGATGTATTTATATAAATATTTCTGGGTATACATATTTTTCAAGCGGGTAGATAATAATACTGTAAAAACTTAATCAAATTGTAAAAATAAAATTATCCAATCAAAAGCATGAAACCAAACATTTATGACATTTTCTATTTTTGGAAACTTCAATTCGGAAAAATTATATTACATTTTATCTACCGATAGACGGTTTATGGTAGATAAAAATATATTGGTTCTCAAAATATTGTTTTAATAATCACCTGGTTGGTACCTGCTAAATACTAAAATACCATGTTGTGAGAAATGAGAATTGAAAATTACAGACAATTAGGTATATAATATTTTGTTTTCGTCACTGAAAATTCTATAGGTACCTATGACCAAAAAAAAACTAGAGATGTGAATATATACGCTGCATATAACCCCCTCCCAAGTACACCACCGATAAGGACTTATTGGGCATTTACTGATTACCTATACCAGTAGGTATACTACATGTTATAATATAAATTATAAATCATTATTGTAGAATGTTGATAAATAATGTATGCAAACAATGTCTGTTAGGTACTAAAAAGAAGTCAGAAAAAACACACTGTCTACAACCCTAAAACATTATAATTAGTAATCAATTGAAATATTCCAGTGAAAAAAATCTTCAATTGACATACTTGATACTAACGGTATAATACATAGACTATACAAAACATGGTAACAAAATGTATTTTAAACAATAATATACGTCTATAAATAATTGTTCATAAAAATTAATTTAACCACAGAAACAAATTTTAGGGACAGGTGGTACCATATTATTATACGTCGTTTTTAAACCTAAAATAAAGCTTTACCTAGGTAAAAATAAGTTACTCGTGTATGTCTAACGAAGTGGAAGGGTGTTGAAGGTTATGCTTGCTAGGTACCTCGTACCTAAAATGTATCAAGATTGTATTTTTGCCTAACTATATAATTTTTCTGCGCCAGGCAAAAATAATCTTTTGATTTTTAATAAATTGGGCTTGAGTATCGGCAACTATGGCTATAATTGTGATATTATTCAAATATTTAAATTTAATATAAAAATGTTTGGTTTGTATTAAATATTTTGTGTGAGTTTGACGATTTGTTTTATATACAGTATACACTATTTATGTACTTTATGTAATTTAGAAATCCTGGACTCCCACACGAGTTCTCAGTGGGGCCCAGTATTTTGAAAAAAAAAATACAATGGTTTTTGGTTCAATAGTGTCTATAAATATTTGAATTTAAGTTTAAATTGTTTAAGTGTTAGTTAGTAACTTATTATTATTAGGTATACAATATTCATAATATATTAATTATTATTGCATAGAAAATAATATAAAGATTGTCATTTTGGAGCGTATTGAGAAATATTACTTTTGGTAATAACTAATAACTCTATATATATTAGCACAATATAATATATTGGCCTGCTGAAAATTTGTTTGGCCTTATTAGTTGTTAGCAAAATTTTCAAAAAGTTGAAATGACACCCCTAAATTAAGGGCTGCAATTAAGGCCCCGGAGTAGAATATTATGACATTATATGTGTACAAATATGTATAATATTATGTACATTGAGCATAATAGGTGGTATTCTTATAGTATATAGTATCATAATAAATGTGCAATACTTACAACCAACTCGGCGAACAGTCTGTCCAATTCAGGCTTTTCGGGCATGGGCAGGGTGGGCGTCATCTTTTGCAACGTCAGAGTACCCGAGTCGACCACGATGTACGTGATCTCTGGCGGCTCGTCGTCCTGTAAAAAGAAGCGCAAAATATTTCGTAATGAAATCATTATCTAGGTAGGTACACAAATGTCAAATATAATTTGTAATAATGTGTATAATATTAGGTACCATGTATTGATAGTTTCTATTATAGTCGTTTACTATGTGTTACTATGTATATGAACATGTAACAATAACTATAGCCAACAGTAATATAGTAAAAATATTTGTTTAGAGTTTACTCACCGACGCACTATAGGAGCATATAATATTACATTTCTAAACAAAAAAGATTTTATTCCCAATGTAACGATGCAGGGAATTTTAAACGTTTTAACAATATCAGCTTACAGCAGTGTTATGTTTATACACTGTTACCTCCGTTTTCGAAGTGTAATACGCTTTACCAATTTAAACTAATACGTGACTACGGTGGTTGGTATAATTTAAAAACGGATAAGACTTGAACCTATAATAGTGTACTTAAGAGTGTATTGTTTCTTTATTTTTTTTAATATATCGTGTTTATTTCGAACATAGGTATTATCGTATTAACAACAAGTTATTAGATAGTATTAAATAATTTAAATATTATTCGAAATCGATAATTTATTGTTCGGGAAGAAAATCGCGCATTTCTCTACAAATGTTATAATAATACACCAATACATAACTCTATAGTAATATAATAATATAATGATACGAAACTCGGTTCTAGGAGGATCAAACCACTTCGAGTACATCAAAGTCTTCGCGTTATAAAAGTAAACGTGCGTCTCTGGATAAAAATCTGTAGAGGTTTTATAAATTATATCCTTTGATCACTTACTGTCAGACAGATAGATCATATTATCAAATTTAATTAAAGCACCGCACGTGACGCATTAAAGGTAGGGTATAGAAAAAATTAAGAATCGATGATGAGTACTATTCCTTCTACTTTCTAATTTTTCATGTGTAATCCTTTTATACACTTTTCATCGTCAGTAACGATCTTGAAATATGACGAGTTACGTAATCTGAACTTGATCGATGTTTTTCTCATTGTACCATGAAGAGAAATACGATTTCAATAATAATAATAACAACTAACAACCATCGACGGCAATACAATTCGTAGAAGTCGTGGTCCAAACGATGAAAACACTTGTCGAGATTTAACGAGGTATCTTCGTCGTCATCGTCTACTAGGTATAGATAATAATATATTGAAGCGACGAAAATATGAAATATTACATTATAGGCAATCACAGAATACAAAATAATACAATGGTACTATACTTTACATTGTGGCGTTATTTTTTACACTTTATTCTCCACAATCTTGCAATAATAATAATTTCAATACTTTTATATTTGTTCGTATAATATTTTGTTATTATATATTGTTATTATATAATAATGATTTGTACTTGGACATATTATAATATACGTATACAGCAACCAATGACAATATCCCTAGGTGTACGAATATAAACTTGTATAAACTCGTATAAACTTGGAATGATAATAAATGAGTCATATCGGAGAAAGCATAATAATATGATAAACACTGTCCGCTCCATCAATTAATCTAAACGATTATGCACGTTTGTGCTCAGAGCTGCCAATTACAGCGAATTTGTTTTTAACAAGGAAAACACACTTGGGCTAGGTCAGCACGTTAATATTTAAAAATTCCACACTTTCAGCACAGTGGGTTGTCTTTCCGATAACCATAATCATCAGTCGTCGGACACAAAATCATTGAGGATTTAATACGCGAGATGGCTTGTTAAAATGTTTACCACGTGTGCTTGACCGGGGGTCATGTGTTCAGATATTGAACACGATTGGCGAAATTGAGACTTCCTGAAATGTAATTATTGAGTTTGCGAACAATGGATAATCGAGAAAAAACTACGAAAGGACTCATCAATGAAGATTTCTATGCCTCGGGTAATCCAAAAAAATGTGTGATGTTCAATGTTAGAATAAACGAATACGAAATAATTGTTAATTAGTAGATTATTTTGTAACCATATCTCAACAACTACAATCGACGAATCGATGATTAACTAAAATATAAATTAAAAACAACGTCTGCACATAAGCTAAGTGCGCAGACGAGGTTATTGTTTTTATTGCTTAATTAATCCTATAATCGCTGTTATAACTTTTGTACTTATATCTTGCCTAAGATCCAATCATAATCTTCTTCAGTATCATTCCTGCGCAAACTTGGTCTTAACGACTCTTCCCTCTGCACAAGCCACACTGAAGATTAATGATTATATATTTGTGATTTCGCGTACCTCCTTCCTTTGATGTCTCGTTAGTCGTTTTCCATACCATTAGGTTCTACGCGCAAATAAATAGCCCTTATCATTATGCTTCCCTTCATAAGTTCGACCGGCCTCGTTATTTAGCAATATAGAGCTTTAATTAAATTTCTTTATATTCTCTTCTCTTCTTACTTATATATTGTGATGCATTATGTTAGCCTAATTGTTATTTGTTAGGCCGAGAGTTAACTTTATAAGTTAAATGTGTTAAGAACACAAACTTTTATTTTTATTTCTAACACTGTTATGTAATTCTCTTATCTATGCTTATTCAACTATAACTAACCGTCAAATAAATAGCTATATCTAATATTGCTAATTTTGTAATACTATAATAATAAACAACTTTAGACTGAAATATAAAAAAATCAATAACGTATTGTTTGTATAAATGTAAAATTAAAAAATACTTTTCTTACAAAGTTAACCTAGGTGCACAAGAGATTATACTAAAGTTTATAATAAACAATAGATGATAAATTTAAAAAAAAGTAGTTATCGTTTAAATCAAAGTAGGTATCTATCAATCAATTTATTTAATGTAATATTATGAATGTTATGATGTACCTATAGTTATAATATATAAATCTAGTACGTGTGTAACCGCCGACCGATTCACACGTGTGTTCACGGTCTTCGCTTATCGCATTTCTTAGCTTCCGATAGCAGTAACACACACGTCGCATTACGCAACTCACTGCAATTAAGAAGGTATGTTGTTATACTACGGCCCCCCATAACCAAATAGGTAACAACTTCCACCCCCGCCTTATACACCATCATGGACAACCATGATACACACATAACCCCCAATTCACAATCTAACTCACACAAAACATTCGCGGAAACAACAGCGAACTCATCCTTTCCAAAAAAAGACCAAGCAATTATCTTCAATACAGTAAATGACGTCCCGCAAATCGAGTACATCAAAGCATTCAGCCAACTTACATCGCCTAATAACATAAAATTCGCTTCACGAATATCCAACAATAGATTCTGCATTTATTTTGCTAGTAAGAGTATCGTTGACCATATTATCTCAAAACAATCGTATATCGTTATAAATAACACGCAAATCGCTTATCGTCGGCTCATTAGCCCGGCAAAACGAATCATCATATCCAATGTGCAGCCATCTATACCTCACGACATAATTATAAAAGCTATTAACAATAGCCTCATTAAAATATTATCTCCCATTACATTTATGAAAGCCGGTTTCTCAAACGATGAATACGGTCACATAGGCAGTTTTCGACGACAAGTATATTTACATCCCGACGATATCCATAGACTACCGAGTTCATTATTAATTAATTACGATCAAACCGATTATCGCATATTCTTCTCGGACGACACCGTGTTATGCTATATCTGCAAACAAACTGGTCACACCTCAAACCACTGCAAAAAAGATTTGGATAATACGATCTTAACTAATAGCAATATCCCTCCTCCGCCGGAAAACAAAGAAATCGAAAAAGATAATAACTCACAAAATGATCAAAATATCATGGACCATACTAACATAAATCATAGTATCGAAAACAATTATCAACAATCTGTCAACAAGCTGACTCCCCTTCAAGAACCAGCTGACCACATTAAAAGACCTATCTCATCATACGCCAGCACCAGCGACACCGACAATGCATCCACCACTGAGAACCCTATAAACACGTCATCAACAACACCTACGGAAACTCAAAACCATCAAACCAATAATAGCATCCTCACAACAAAGCTATTAGAATCCCAATCCAACGAAAAAAAAAAAAAAAAAAAAAAAAAAAACAAATGCAGGAATAACACATAATACACCCCTAACACCAATTAAGAGCACAAATATAAGCAAGCCTACCACCGAAAAATCCAAGAAAAATCCCCAACCCGCCAACAAAAAAATTAAACGCTCCAACTCCATAGAACTAATAGTAGCTAAACTGGACGAAACACTAGCCCCAGCCATAACTGTTTTTGAAGGAATCCCCAACCGTAAAATAGACTTCAATCAGCTCAAATACATTATTGAAAACTCCCTCAGCGTGGATCATCCCTCTAATATTCTAAACCAATTTAACATAACCCCGATGGAAATGATTGAAATATTAGACACGATTCGTCCGAAAATAAAAAACCTCACGATTAAAAACAGGCTCACGAGACTATGTAACTCATATCTCGAGTCATTATGAATACGCAATCCCTCTTCAGTATAAATAATAAATAAAGCAAATAATTAAAAAATCATCTTCTCAAAATTATATAATAATCATCTTTACAAACTCCAAATGCAGTCACAACCAAAAAATATTATACAATGGAACCTCAATGGACTCCATAAAAACATCGATGAAATTAAACTTATAATAAACTTACATCAACCTATTGCAATATGTCTTCAAGAGACTAACCTTAAATATGACGAATCTCCACCTTATATAAATAACTACCAATATGCAACTAAAAACCGTAGAGGCTGTCTGAGGGCAAGCGGTGGTGTCTGCATACTCATCAATAACTCATTTCCTTGGGAGGAAATCCCTATCCATTCAAACATAGAAGCCGTCGCAATATCAATCACACTCGAAACAAAAACCACCCTCTGTAATATCTACATCCCAAATCAATTCAACTTCACACTCATAGATTTAGAAAATATTATCAAACAATTACCACGTCCCTTTATTATTGTCGGGGACTTTAACAGCCACAGTATTACATGGGGTTCATATAAAACCGATTCAAGAGGAAAAATAATAGAAAAATTATTGGAACAAGATAACATCGTAATACTTAATAACAACGAGCAAACTAGAATAAATCCCTCGAACAGAAACCTTTCAGCTATCGATTTAACGTTCTCTACACCTACCATAGCACAAAGATTACACTGGCAAGTATTAAATGAAATATACAATAGTGACCATCTCCCAATCTCTATACAATTCATTTCCAATGCACTTCAAACAAACTACTCTACAACAAAATGGAACCTCAAAAACCCTGACTGGCCTCTATTCGCAAACCTTCTGGAAACAAAAATCAACGCGTCAGAATTCACGGATGAAGATATAGATATCGAAAAAACAGTATCCAAATTCACTGAAATCATCATAGAGACTGCAGAACAAACAATAGGCTACTTGAAACCCCCCTCCAAAAAAACACCGGTTCCGTGGTGGAACAATGAAATTAAACAATATATATCACAAAAAAATAAAGCACTGAAAACATTTATAAAAACCAGATCACTCGAGGACCATATAAAACTAAAAGAACTCAGAGCAAAAACAAGATTCTTGGTCAAAAGTAATAAAACTCTAACATGGCGAAACTTCACCTCCGAAATAGGTGCCCAGGTTGATCCCCACATTATGTGGAACAAAATCCGTTCATTACAGGGACGGAAAAAGCACAGTAATATCTATCTCTCCACAAACTCATCTTTAAACACCGATCCATCTTCAATTGCCCACCACCTTGGAAAATATTTCGAAAAAAACTCCAGCAATGAAATGTACAGCCACGACTTCTTAAGGGAAAACGAAAACATACCATCACCTCAACCCTCCGTAATATCGCCCCAAAATACTAATCAGTCTTACTTAAACAGCCCTATAACAATTAATGAAGTTTTGAAAACTCTCAAAAAATGTACCAGCAAAAGTACCGGACCAGACAATATCCCTTATAGCTTTATTCAAAACTTTACAATCGACACACTTAAAATACTCCTAAAAATATACAATACCATCTGGAACAACAACGTATTTCCACAAAATTGGAGAAACAGTATCATCATACCGATAAGCAAACCAGGAAAAAACAAATTCTCAACTGATGGCTACCGACCCATTTCACTTTTAAATACCTTGTGTAAACTCCTAGAGAAAATTGTAAACCAACGTTTAATATGGTTTTTAGAACAGTCTTATTATCTCACCCCCGAACAATGCGGGTTCCGGAAAAATAAAGGTACATATAACTGCCTTTCCAAAATTCACGCAGAAATACAAAACACATACTCCGAAAATCAATACTTAGGTATGATCAGTCTCGATTTGATGAAAGCCTACGATACAACATGGAAACCGCACATTTTAAACAGTCTCACTAAAGTACTAAGCCAAAACCAAATGTTCAATTTTATTAGTAACTTTCTTAAAACAAGAACATTTCAAGTAAGAATCAACCAAACTCTATCCAAGACTTTCTCACAGGCTAACGGAGTCCCTCAAGGATCTTCAATTTCGGTTACGCTCTTCCTCATAGCCATCAACAATATCACACAGAACATTTCTCCACCTGTCCATTCTACACTCTTCGCGGATGACTTTAATATTTACTGCCGAAGCAAGAGCTTAGCAACCGTCCAAACCCACCTACAACAAGCCATCAACAATCTGCTTAAATGGACCCATACATCTGGCTTCACTTTCTCTCCTGAAAAATCACAATGCACTGTGTTTACACGTAGGCGCAATCAAAACGCTATAAACATAAAAATGGGTGAATACCAACTAATAAATAATAATACAATTAAAATCCTCGGCATCATATTCGACAGAAAATGTTCCTGGACCCACCACATCAACTCCTTGAAAAACTCAATTTCTCCACGTCTCAATGTTATAAAAATGTTATCCCACACATCATGGGGTTCTAAAACTCATGTTCTATTAACAATATACAAGTCACTTATACTTTCTAAATTCGATTACGGATCCTTCATTTGGACAACGGCACATAAATCAATATCAAAGAAACTAGATACAATCCACAACTCAGGTCTCCGTATGTCAATTGGCGCTTATCGTTCAAGTCCAATTCCTAGTATCTATAATCTTGCCTGCACACAACCTCTTGACATAAGAAGACTCAAAATTACATTGAATCACGAATTAAAATTAGCAAGTACCCTTCCTACTCTTGACTTCAAACCAATATTTCAAATGTTACCATCATTACTCCAGGAGAACAACCTTGATACTTCCAAAATACTCACTATTACTCCCTCTCTCACCCCCCAATGGAAAAATCTCATTGAAACCAACACTGAACTTTCTATATTCAAAAAAGACGACACACCCCCTTCCATCTACAAAAAAGAATATTTCCACATAATTCAAAACATCACAAGTGAAAAAATGTATACAGATGCATCCAAAAGCCAAGACGGGGTTGGCGCTGCAGTAATCTGGAATAATTCGGAACTCATGTATAAACTTCCTAGCACTTGCTCAGTTTTCACAGCAGAGTCAATCGCCATATTAAAAGCACTCGACATAATAACCGATCATCACCTACAAGACACCATTATCTTCACTGACTCCCTCAGCGCTATCAACAATATTAAAAACACATATAACCCATCAGACATCGGCCTACATATTCAGAATAAAATCCACACTTTACAATACCATAATAATTTCAAAATCAAACTCTTCTGGATCCCCGGACATTCGAGCATAAAAGAAAACGAACTAGCTGATCTCGCCGCCAAATCTGCAATCTCCTCTCCACTATCAACGTCCTCACAAATAATCTCTTCCAGCGACATACGATCACTTATAACAAAGAAATGTCAACAAACATGGCATCAGAGGTGGACTTCTTATTACACAAAATTAAATCGTATAAAACACAACACCGTCAATTGGACATTTCCTATCGAAATCCACAGAAAATTCGAAGTCATAATAACCAGACTCAGAATTGGACATACGAAAATCTCTCACAGTTTCCTAATGGCCAAGGAAGAACCACCCATGTGCCCATCCTGTGGTGTCCAAGTCACCATCAGTCACATCCTCACCGAATGCCAAACATACCACAATACCCGAACCAGCCACAACCTGCCCGAATCACTCTCCGAAATATTAAGCAACCACCCTCAATCCATAGTCAACATCATCAAATTCATCACAGCCGCCAATCTTCAAACCAAAATTTAGCATAATTTAGATTTAGTAAATAATATTTATGTATCTATAATCTCCTCTCTGTAAGCCCAATGGCCCATGTTGCCGAGGGTATAAATATAAATAAAAAAAAAAAAAATATATAAATCTAATATATACAATTCTCGTGTCACAATATTAGTTACCATACTCCTCCGAAACGGTGTGACCGATTTTCATGAAATTTTATATGCATATTTAGTAGGTCTGAGAATCGGCTACTATCTATTTTTCATACCCCTAAGTCTAAGGGTTGTCCAGAAAAATATAAACTAAATAATTAGTTTATTGTTGCAGATTAAAATAATAATAGCGTATTATTTATTGGTTGCTATTGGTTAATCGGGCATGTTTGTTGATTTGTATTATTATTTTCTGTCAATATATATGTATCTATAATATAAAAATGAATCGCTGAATATGTATCCATACATTGGGTTGTCAAGAAAAAAATTAAATTAAAAATAATAATAGTGTATTATATATTGGTTGCGAATAACCATTCAGGCATGTTTGTTGATTTGTATTATTATCTTTTGTCAATATAAATAAATAAATGAATGTTTGTGTGTCTAGGTAAGACCTCTGGATTGAATATATTCTAATTTAAAAAGGGTTAAATTTGGTTTTTTTTATTTATCGGATTTTAGTACATTTAACGGGTAACGAAGTGCACAGGATCAGCTAGTATAAGTATATAATATTATAAATTATTGTGGAATGCCCATTGCCCGATAAATTAATTATAGTGTTATATCACTTACATATTATATTATAGTTATACATGTTTTGAAATATAATATAATACAATCTGAATATCTAAGAATATATGTTTAAATCTGAAAATTTTAAT